TAAACAGTGAATGAGAGCATGTCCCATTGCTGCCAATGGTGATTGTCACAATGGCAGGAGTGTGTTGGGATATGACGAAATATGAGTTTTTACGTTCCAAAAAGAAACTATTCAAGTACAAAGTTTTAGACACGTACGATCGGACTTTGATCGTGATGTCAGGATTCGACGCAAGTATGCTGGACGGCGAGTCTGTCGGACAATCTACATCCACACAAAAAGGGAATGACCCTATACAAGTGAGATATCGATGTTGTGTACAATGCAGTAGGGAACAATACAAGATGTCCCAAAGTACTGCATCCAACACAGAATTGTCGTAGAGGTCGAATCAAGTTCTGTAAACAAGGGATTTTCCAAAGGAAAATCGTTGAACTTACTTTTGTGATTGAATCATCAATTCAAGCCAAACATTAATCAAACAATTTCACTCAAAGTATACCTAGATACAGGAGAACTATTGTCGTGAAAGTGTTGTACAGTCGATTACAAATTTAGATTGCAGAGAGTTTGTTCTGAGCGCTAAAGGCACTCACAGTAGAGCACATTTTGCTTTAGTCTAACAGTTTTTACGTCCCAAAAAGAAACTATTCAAGTACACAGTTTTTGACACATACGATCCAACTTTGATTGTGATGTTGGGATTTGACGCAAGTATGCCGGACGCAAGTCTGTCGGACAATCTATATCCACACAAAAAGGGAATGACCCTATACAAGTGGGATATCAATGTTGTGTACAATGTGGTAGGGAATAATACAAGATATCCCAAAGTACTGCATTCAACACAAGATCCTCGTAGAAGTTGAATCGAGTTCTGTAAACAAGGAATTTTCCAAGGGAAAATTGTTGAACTTACTTTTGTGATTGAATCATCAATTCAAGCCAAACATTAATCAAATAGGAACAATTTCACTCAAAGTATACCTGACACAGGAGAACTATTGTTGTGAAAGTGTTGTATAGTCGATTACAAAATGAGATTGCAGAGAGTTTGTTCTGAGCGCTAAAGGCACTCACGATAGAGCACATTTTGCTTTATTCTAACATTCAATCTGACAGAATTCTAACAGGAACGGGACTTGTGACTTGACCTATAGGATTCCCAGGTTGAAGTGTACACGAACCACTACACGCCATTAATTTAGCGTAGAGAATGCTGAGTCATCAGTGTTCTGCGATAATTCTAGAGATTTGCGTGGAAAAGTGATGGATCATCGCTTTTCTCACTGCATGCTTTTTACTTGAATTGATAACAATCAACTTGTAGAAACTAGTCAACTATAGGCTTATAGTCTATATTCATTTATTTCTGTCAGATTAAGAGTCGCAGTTACGCCTACAGCTAACTGTCGCGATTTCCCCATCAGAAATCGCCCAATTCGTCTCCCATCAGAAGACGAAAACACAACAACTTGCGGATCGGATTTCACAGCGTTTTCGCAAGTTACTGAGCTCCCATCAAGCTCAGTCACACACACACACAGCTGAATGCAGCGATTGTCCTTCAGAATTTCGCTGATCTCGTCTTCCATCAAAGACGAGGACAATCAACATTTTGGAATTCGTCTTACCATCAAAAAGGACAAACCACACAACAACTCGCGGATCGATTTTCAGCCTTTCGCAAGTTCTTTGGGCTACCATCAAGCCCATCCTCTACCACCACTCGAATTGAATAATTCTTTGGGGTTTTTCATACCCATACTTTTCAGTTTGAGTGAAGAACTCGTCAACAATTGGCAACGAGTTATTTTCAAGTTTTGGTCCCACGACGACTCGGAGTTTTTCGGCTTATTGTGGAGTGTTGGCATTGAGCGGCCCTATCGCCCTTGCCATTCGATTTGGAGTATTTTAATTCAAGAAAGCGCTGAGTCTTGCCAGCTCGTGCTGCCCCTGTTCACCTCCTTCTTGTTGTCAGGAGTTTTCAACGGAGCAAGGGATCCGATTTCTCCTTTTGATTGAATAGCTTCTGTGGTGGAAGTCTCAAAAGCGAGAGATCACCTTCTTGGTGCAAATCAAGAAGTAAAACGATCTGGAAAGGGCAGTTGTGCACCCAATCCTGCAGTCCTACACCAGCACATCAGGAAACAAACCTTCAGGCGTGTTGTTTCAATTTTTCTTCGACCATCAGCTGACTCCAACCAGTCAACTGATCTTCTGATCAACTGAGTCGACTGAGTTTCATTCCTCTGAGTCAACTCCTGCATGGTCCGGATTGGTCAAAGAGAATTGCAAGCTCTGAACATTGACACCAACATCACTCAACTGCCCGCCACTAGTAGTACTCAACCATCAGGCACACGAGTGACAATGTCCACTGCTGGCAACTCAACAACAAACCGCAACCCCTCTCGAGTCCTACAACCTGGACATCTTGAGACTAGTCTTGTGTACATCCTGGAAACTGTCTTTGGCTACAGTGCTGGCAGTATTCTTCATCTCGCACTTGACTTGTATGGTTGTAAATGTTACCTCAACCTTGTTGGCCTGGATGATGCTGATATTGACGGACTACAGTATCCTGTCAGTCAGCCGCATGATGCTAACGGTGACCCACAACCAGATGTACTTTGGGATGTGCTGAAACCTCTTAAGGCATATCTCCATGGGATCCGTGGCTACATCTACCACCAAGAAACTGTGCTTCAGGACCCAGTCACTCTGACTAACTGTGTCCTCATTGACCCTGATGATTTTGATACATACAGGGCCTCCAGCGCATTCATCGTGTTCCGCAGCCACACCATCCCACAGCCTCTTGTCTCCAAGCCATCTTGACGTTCACCAGCTGAGGAATTTGATCGGGGCATTAATCTAGATGCAAATCTTTATCCAACTTTGTCCAATAATCGGCAATGGGATAGTCCTCATGGCAAACATCTCACATCTGAAGAGGAACATCCTCAATACCTTAGCCTTGCTGAGCCTTTTGTCCCTGATCTTGAATCAGTTGACCTCGGGCCTGAAGGCAAATATGGTACCCTTGACAAGGAAAATTCCCAGTACCATCGTCTTGTTGAGCCCTTTGTTACTGATCTTGCATCAGTCGACCTTGAGCCTGATCCTGTTGTTGACCTCAAGACCAAACGCCAACATGGTACCCTTAATCTCTCATCAGTCGACCTTGAGCCTGATCCCACTGTTGACCACAAGACCAAAAGCCGACATGGTACCCCTGGCGACGATCATGTCCAGTATCCTTGTCTTGTTAAGCCAGTTGCTACTGATCTTGCATCAGTTGACCTTGAGCCCGATCCTCTTGCCTACCGAGCTTGTCTGGCATCTTTGGCAACACTTCCTTGCAAGAAATCTCTTTGCACTGCAAAGTTAGAAGCTGCTGGTT